TATTTGTCAACATGGAATTTTCCGTACAGGACACATTCCTACCGCATACTGTGTATTGAAATGAGGAACATCATTAAACAAGCCATCATGGAACCCCTGATACCTTTGTAACCAGTTTCACCTTTAGTGTAGCAATTCCCATCTTGTGTACATTTAGACCCTTCAGACAGACATAAGCTGTGGATACAAAACGAAATACACATCCTTTTAATGCAGATTATATACCCTCGGCACACATGTACAGTGAGTGTTACAGTACTTGGTCAGCTGGTCCCGTGGTCTGTTTGTCTGTCTGTCTGTCTGTCTATTTGTCCATCTGTCAGTCTGTTACCACGTTTTCTGCTACCGCACGCAACAAGGCAGAAAAAACAAGAGGTACATACACTTTGGGTGTGATATGAACATGGGGAAGAATAATACCCAATTAGGAGGTATAGCAATATTCCTTGTTGTTTGACCCAACCATGTGACAGCTGTGAGTAAAATTTTCATGCATAGTTTGCTTATTCAGTATCCCTACATACAAATAGTGGAAAAGGCTTACTTGAACAGATAACTGTAACAGCCTCAGCAAGGGTGCAGTCATGTTCTCCAATGTTATTATGTGTACAGTTATCCAAACGCCCTTCGTCTCCCGTACAATTCACTTCATCCAACCAGAATATCCCATCGTTCAGATTTGGACACATTTTACCTTTCTCTAAGGAGGTTAAGAGGACATGTAACTATAAGGTTGCTAATTATACTCTGACTCACCTCCACTCTCGAAACAATATTGCTTACAGACAACTTGGGCATTATTGTCATTTGCTCCCCACTGGTCATCACAGACCAATCCCCAGGTGGAGTCATAGCATATTTCAACTAGCATTTCATTCGTATCATTCGTTATATTTATTAAACGGACGTCTCCATCGTTACATACTGTAGAAAAACACAATTATTGCTTGGGTGAAGGAGTGAGCCAATGCACTCATAATGCCACACAATTTCATATGGCAATAACGAGTGCAAAACACATTCCAAATGGGATACTGGAATGGCTCAAAGCACAACAAAAAAGAGGTGCATTAATGTCTGCACACTACACTATTGGAGACCTTTCTCTTATGTGGCAGTTCTCGGCTTCCATCATTTAGCACACTTCGATTCGCTTTATTAAAATGAAAAAGTGGACTATAAAGGGATTTAGGATAAGAAGATGTCTGCAGAATGGCACTTTCCTTCATCTTGCAAGAAAGTATATGCCCTGTTATGACCTTAAACCTTCAAGTTGTAGACATCAACCTGTAGCGTGCATAGACTTCATGCGTTCATGGCCAGAAAAGAATTCTTTACAAAAGTGTAGGGGTGGAGTTCTGAATGACATGTCATACAATTTGCCATCTTCTTGTTTTTCTCCTTTTTATTCTCTGCTTGTATTAAAACTGACCTTGGCATAGGTGAGTGACATCTTTACAATCAATAAACCATGTCGCACTGCAGTTATCCAAATCAACCACACATTCAGCTTCCACCTGTCCAGGGCAAGTAGCATTTTCACAAGGTTTTTTTTCGCAGGACTGACTTTGAGCATCCTGCAGGACAAACGATGAATGCACAATATATTTCTTGTGTGTTAGAACTGACACTATTGAATTTCTCCATTGTCACGACTATTTCGTGAACCATTGCTGTGTAGTATCACCTCTTGTTTATTGGTGTTTTTAACCCTCGGCGCGCATGCGCAGCGAGGGTTACTGTAGTTGGGTCTGTGTGTCTGTCTGTCTGTTACTCTTCATCTCACTTCTCGAGTGTTCTTTCGTTTCACAAACGATACGACTTACTTAGCGGCCAATGAAGGTCAGAAATTTTGTGCGGTTTTCTCTGAAAATGCTCCATTGCAAAGCTAGAGCGCTTCCACCATTATACGGCTAATGCATAGTTGGCCATTTTTATGCGCGGAAAAGGCGCATGCGCTTATAGTTTGAACAGGCTTTAACCTCGACCGGGCCGCTTGTTCTGTGTCCACTCCCGCATGCTATCTACTACTGTAGCTAGTCCGTGTCAGACTCTCCGCGAGCTACTAGCGTGGATACCACGAGTAAACGCATACTAAAAGCCCAGCCCATAAATTAGTGGTACCGCGCGTGCACAGTTCGCCGAGGGTGTGCACTTCAGTGCTTTTCATTCAACTATTAATCATGTATAATCAGAGTGTTGGTAGGGATGACACGGGTATAATAATGTCAACACATGCACGGGTCTGTACACCACTACTAGATGGGCTAGGCCACACTGTCGAGTTTCTTGCTATATAGCTCACTGAAGAGGCTATGTAGGTAGACAGATATTTATTGCGGGACTCGATACTCGCCCCTGTCGAACTTTCTGATGTCTCCACTGTGCACAACACAGGCGGATGTAAGTCAAGTCACGCGTGTATGCACCCAGCTACACGACATGCGTGTCGAGGAACAGTGTAGTAATTAACAACTCTTTACTAGACTATGTAGCAGGAAAGGGCACACAGGTAGACAAAGGTATAGCTATACATGTATGTTTAGTGTATGTGTACCCTGCAACAAAAACACAGTTGGGAACTGAAAAGGAACCAATAAGGCCACAAGTCTTCACCAAATACTATTTTGTGTTTTTCTAGACATTAAAAAGGTTTTTACAGAGGTATTTACCCCGATCACATGAAGTCCCATTGCCAATGTATCCTTCTTTGCATGTACATGAGTAACCGCCAGGGGCATTAGTGCAAAAAGCATCTTCTGAGCAGTTGTCCAACTCCAACTTACATTCATCAAAATCTGCATTGAAAACGAGTATGTACCACCACATAAAACAAAGAACTTCTCTTACCATAACAATAGGTACCATTTCCACTGTAGCCAGTGATGCATGTGCAAGTATACCTGCCATCAGATCCCATACACACGGCATTATCACCACACAAACGCATGTCCGTGTCACATGGATTATCAATGTCTGCATGGAAGGAACACATGATTGATTACTGTGCAAGACTAGGAGGTGCAATTTGGTCTGTGTACATTTAGCTTCTAGGACACTTGGAGTTGAAACAGATCAGCAGCATTTGTGCACAGCTGAGACCAAACTGGGAGGGCACCAGACCTGACAATGAACACAGATGGCAGCTGGTGCTGCAATATCTCTCGCTGTATCTAAACCATAGCTGGCTTCCTTATCAAAATATCCTCAGAAAACACTGCTAAGTAAACAGTGGGAGGCAGCACAGGCTGGGAGGAGAGGCCAACCAGTGGCACACAATATGGTTCATGGTCAACTGCTTCCATGGCTAGATAACCATTATAGCAGACATTCATTCCTTGTCTACCCTTGGGTTGGTCAAGGTTCAAAGAACCCAAAATAACCATTTGGTATTCAGATACATTAGCTACCATCTCCCTATCCACCAACCAAGCTACTAAAGCCCAATGAACACTATTTATTTCGCCATGCCATTGTAAAAAGTGTATGATTGGCTTACTAGCAGACAAGTTACCCACAAAATATTATGAGCTACAGATCATGAGTTTCCTCCGACGCACGCACTGTGGCTGGGAAACGCTTCTAGCCGAGTGCGCATGCGTGGCAGTAGCCTACTATCACATCCCTCGTCAAAAGCCTGTCCGGCGTATATACGCTATTTCTGCAAAATCGCTCTCTTATAAAACACTACATTGTCAAATCAAACAACACAACCATTATTACCCAATTGGCAGTGTGCAATCCGCAAGAGAAGGCAAATAGTTACGAACGGAGAAGCCCTAGACACCATCCCGTGATCCTCAAGTTGCCTGTGAGTGATAACAATGCAGTTACAGAGAAAACGAATCCAAAGCGATGACTTGAAGCACACGTCGTCAAATTCGCGCGGCGGATGCTCTGACTGCACGCCAAGGCTCGTCTTATACGTATATATATGCCCGACGTGCGCATTTCCGCTAATTAGGTGACGATTTCCGGTTAGCATAAGAAATTTCTGCCCTTATATTCCTGCATGACCATGGCTTCCATGGTAAAACACCACTAAAAAGCTTCTGATCAGCTATAATACCAAACACCTGCTTTCACTGAATTTGGGCGCAATGAGCCAGATGGTATAGCCGTCCTTAGGTGCAACTAAACTCTTACGTAGTTATAGTATATAGCCTGTCTAGACATGTGCTGTCAAAGCAACGCCACTGCGATTAGGAAACAAGCTGCAGGCAAACAATAATATTATAGACTCTGCTTGCCTTCCCTCGCCAACTTTGTTCGATAGTGGAACCTTGGTAATCAAAGTCTCTAAAGCTTTGGCACAGATATTTTACCTGAAATGCACCCACCTATATACTATAATCCAGCCACCTTTTTCCCACTGTAGTAGCCATGTTCACATGTATAACACAATCTATGTAGCTATGCAGCATAGTCCATGCATGACAACCACCTGCTATACGTACTTGGCGTGGATAATGGGTAAAGATAAAGCACATTCCTGTGGTGCCTCATAAGAATTCATAAGATTTTTTTTCACATAACAGATGGGGAAATAATTTATTTTTCAAGCACAGATTACAGTATCATTATTGAATACGGGTAGAGCTCACGAAGTGCAATATTGAGCTCACGAAGTGAAACCGCCGGCCGGTGCACGTTTGTATGGAATGCGCGGGTCGTACAGCTTGTTGAGTATATACAAACAGAATGTAGCTACAGACAGAATGAAAAGCACTGAAGTGCAAACCCTCGGCGCACTGTTACGCGCCCGCGTAATTAAACGCATGCGCCGTACCACTAATTGATGGGCTGGGTTTAGTTTTAGCTGTTACTCGCGGTCTCTTGCCAGCTCTGACGCGGGTTAACTACACTACTAGATAGCATGCGAGAGGCGATACACGCCCTGCGTTGCATCTTCTAGTGCCTCCGAGGTACGCAGAGCACGCGGATCGATCGTGCCGTAGTATAAAGCCGTTGTGTATTTGCATATTGGCTTTTTCGCGCTCTAGCTTTGCAACGGAGCGTTTTCAGAGAAAACTGTCCGATCGTTCTGACCTTCGTTGCCCGTTAAGCATGTGGTATCGTTTGTGAGACGAACAGACTTTCGAGAGGTGAGATGTAGAGTAACGGACAGACAGACAGACAGACAGACAGACCCAACGAAAAGCACTAAAGTGCAAACCCTCGGCGAAGTAGCTCGCAGAGAGTCTGACACGGGCTAGCTACAGTAGTAGATAGCACACGAGAGTCGATACACGCCATTCGTTGTGACTTCTTGTGCCTTCAAGATAGACAGAGCAAGCGGACCCGGTCGAGGTAAGCCTGTGCTAAATTTAAGCGCATGCGCATTATCCACCAGCGATAAAATGGCGACTACCGGCATTAGCCATACAATGCTGGAAGCGCTCTAGCTTTGCAACGAAGCATTTTCAGAGAAAACCCCACAAATTTTCTGACCCTTCATTGCCCGTTGAGTAGGTCGTATCGTTTGTGAGACGAACAAACACTCGAGAAGTGAGATGTAGAGTAACAGACACACAAAACTACTACTGTAACCCTCGCTGCGCATGCGCGCCGAGGGTTAATAAGCTCTTTGGTGCAGATAACGAAGTGCAAACCCTCGGCGAACTGGGCATGCGCGGTACTGCTAATGGTGGACCCGCAGTCTCCCGCTAGTATCTCGCGGAGAGTCTGACACGGGCTAGCTACGGTAGTAGATAGTATGCGGGAGTCGATACATACCCTTCACTGTTGTTTATTGTGCCTCCAAGGTACACAGAGCAAGCGGATCAGGTCGGGGTGAGTCAGCATACCGTAGTCGTAGACACACAGACAGACACACAGAACGACTATACAGTAAGTTCATTCAAAGTTCATTTTGCAGGACCATATGTATACAGTCAAACAGTCAAAGTATAAACATGAAATATGAAGTTCCAGTCCAGATAATCGGAAATACGATAGAGCCCCCGCTCTGACTCGCATAATCTGGCACCTGGCGAGCAGATAGAGCCCACGCTCTGCTGGACAGCTGAAACTTGGGTCAATCACTCTTAATCTCGGCTGCCAGATGCTCGCTAACAGGAACACCCAGCCATCTGTAATCAAGACAAAAGCAACAGCAATGTGTCTCAATAAGTCTCTGCCATGCAGCCTCTGTTGATCGAGTACTGTTCAATAAGCTTGCATGACAATACACTTGCACTAATTGGCGAGCGGGAGCGAGCCAACCTAGTCGTCGCAACGGGTCGATTTTTACCGTTCGTACGTCGTGTAAGTGCGCATGCGCGGCTTTGTACGCGCTTCTTTTTATCCGAAACGATTTCCAAATTTTTACACACACGGTGCCTCGCCGATCGATCTAGCCAGCTAGAGAACTCTCCTCTCTATTCGACAGCATGCGCTGTAACCTTGGGTGACTGACCGAGGCTGTACCTCTTCCCAATCTTCATGGTTCCAAGGTGCAACTTGCAAATAGTATAATACGCTATGATTGCCACGTCTGGCGAGCTGAAAGCGTAAGGTAGGTATATACCGTTCTGCTCACCTGCTCACCATTCTGCCAATGACGTACAATACGCATGTAACGGCGACAGGTAGATCTGTGTTGGAAAGCTGTGCGCTGACGGCACGTTATGGAGCCCCAACATCGCGGGCAAATCCCAAGTTGGGTCGCTCCCGCTCGGCAATAATGTTCAACATTTCCGTTAACCCTCGGCGCGCATGCGCAGCGAGGGTTAAGGTAGTTTTGTGTGTCCGTCAGTCTGTCTGTTACCACGTTTTCTGCCACCGTGCGCACGAAATCAGGTAAATAGCGATATGATCGGGTTCAGTGCTACACTGGGTTGATTTTTAAAAAGGCGATTTTCGTAAAACTACTGTTATGGCGTGAAAGCCAAGTACAACAAGCCAATATGTAAATTAGCACAGGCTTACCTCGACCGCGTCCTTTCGCTCTGTGTACAAGTCACAACGAAGGGTATGTATCAACTGCGTTCAAAAGTTATGGCGTGAAAAGCAAGTGAACAAGCCAATATGCAAATTAGCGCAGGCTTACCTCGACCTCGTCCGCTCGCTCTGTGTATCTTGCAGGCACAAGAACTACTATACCTAGCCCGTGTCAGACTCTCCGCGAGCTACTAGCGGGATATATACCACGAGTAAAAATACAAAGCCCAGCCCATCAATTAGTGCTACCGCGCATGCGCAGTTCGCCGAGGGTTAGCACTTTAGTGCTTTTAGTTTTGGATGAGCACTGAATAAGTTTCCATTAAAGATACGGAAATTCAACGTAATATACAGCAGAGCTACAGTCATGTCATTGTTCTTTATATATAGGAGTTAAATTTGATGACCCTATCATCAAACTTCGAAACAGAAGGTCACACCACTGTTGACACTGCATCCTACTGGGACAATCCTCAGCCAGTGCTGTCCTGGACTAAGACCAGTCAGGGTACCAGAACCTGGCATGATAGACAATGTATAACAAGGCTTGTGTATGGGGACATACAGTCTGGCAAGGTTACTCCGTCCAGTTTACAGACAAAACCAGTAATGTCAGAGCCAACACCACTGAATGAATAGGTAGCAGAATTTATCTCCACTTCTATCTCACCAACGAGTTCCACAGTACACACCACCACTGCAAACATGGAGGGTGCACTGTATCAAAATATCTCCCACAGCAAGCACTTTCCTATTTACCGCTCTGGCTACAGAGAGGTGACTCTCCACTCCATGTCCCGTCACTCTCACAGGTTCTGGTACTGCCACCAACCAGTCTATATCCGTCATCGCAAGAGTATGTCGCTTGTGAGCCAACAACTAGGCCGTCATACACCACAGAGCCGTCGGCTGGGTTTTCCAAGTCTGGACATCTCATCTCTAAACGGAACTTTGTATGCATAGAAGAGCAATGAAAACACCAGAGCTAATACATACCGTCATCATCTTCGATCACAATTTCGGTCACAGTATTGGCCAAAACAATAGGCAAATCGTAGCTCTTTAGTTGCACTGTGAATCGTTCTTCTCCTTCACTCAAGCTGTCGTCAGTGATACTGACTCGTATTACAGCCGATGGAGTGTGGTCGGGACGGAAGTAAACTGTTGCAAGAACATCTTGATAGTCTTCACCAGCTGGGGAGGAAATGCGGTAGCCGTTTCCCGTCTCAATCAGATACGATTTTCTTACCAACAGCTGTTCCGTCTCCACTTGTAATCCTCAGACCAAACGGTATTCCAATGCTGGGAACGTTTCCACTACTATCTGGGAATGCCGTCACTGCTATCTCCACCACACCTGATGACTCAGACACAGAGTATGATGCGTTCACAAATCCAACCTTCAGGTCTACATGATCACAAGTATGCCCATCACTGCATGTTCCATTTGTTACTTAGTAACTTACAGTCGTAATCAATGACGAAGACATATACTGGGTTAACCAACTGTCCTACACTAACAGAGATCATTTCAATTCCCTCCACTATACCATCAGTATGAGCAATGACAGTCACCACAACACACTCTGAGTCTCCCTCAGAGTAGCTCCCGTTGAAGACAATCGTTTCGTTGTAGAAAGTATAATCTGTTTCATCTACGGGAGAAGGGAGACAGGTTACCAACTAGCTTGCCAGGTATGAGCTAACAGAACTCATGTCATAAGACTCTATTAGACTGATACTGAGCAGCTATCCATGCCAGCACTCAATGTGCAATGCTCCGTGCCAGCGCTTACACGCTTACATACGTCACAAGACTCTAAGATATTGCATAGCTCACTTTTTGCTGATCCAAATGGAGTGACCTCAATAGGAAATACCCTGTGTATCAAGCTCCGTGCGACTTTGGTGACAGTCAGGCATACTTTTATGCTCTCTGTCTCTCCCTCTTTCACAGAGTATTCACATGGACTTGTGAGTTCAACTGGAGAAAAAAATGTTCTGTTGTTTTCCGTCACTTTGCTTGACCACACACACACAACACATGGATTTCCATACTTGTGCTACAGTTTTGTTCATCAAATCCATCGACACAGTCTACAATTGAATCACACAAGTACATGAATGGTAGACATCTAGGAAAGCCGAAATCATCACCCGGACACTGGAATTCATCCTCTCCACAAAACATGGGCCGTTCTGTTAGGGTAAGATAGTGAAAAGTCAGTGCACTGCAGCATTATAACAGAGAAGGCAGCATACCAGTGGAACAACTAACACTAGCATCTTCCAAATGGCCACAGTTATTGTTCCCCACTCCATTATGCTGACACAGCTGTAACAATGGTTCGAATCCAAAACATTCCACGTCATCCAGTAGTATTGGCCCTTCTCCCTCCCCATATCTGGCGTTTGAATATGCCACTGCATCTGTTCAGCAGACCAAAGGTACAATCACCCATCTACTCTGACTACTCTGCAACCTCTTTCCTTAGCTGTTAGCTAGCGGCTTACATTCAGTTGGGAGTCCAAGCTGTCTGCAGACAACTCTAGCATCATCACTGTCCCAATCGTCATCACAGACTGTTCCCCACGTGTTGTTGAAGCAAACTTCCACCCGTCCCTCAGTGTCACTCCCATCAACCAGACGGACTTGCCCATTCTCGCACACACTTGGCACCCCTGCATTACAGCAGTTATGAAATTGACAGCAATGGAGTAAGTTTGTCAATGAATGTATATTAATAACAGGGGCAACCTTTTATTTCTGCACCATACTTGACATGCAATTGAGCATCACTTACCATCAGAACACACAACACCAGCATCCTCGATATAACCGCAGTTATGATCTCCCACTCCGTTATGATGACACTCCCTTCCTCTCACTCCCATTGTAGCACTGAACCCGTTACTATCGCTCTTTGGCCAATTTCTTGCGCGTGGTAGCAGAAAACGTGGTAACAGACAGATAGACAGATAGACAGACAGACAGACAGACACACTCACGAACCAAGTACCGTACCGTGGATTTCCACTTGCATAATGAAAGGCACAAAAGTGCAAACCCTCAGCGCAGAACAATGTTCCTGCAGTGTCCCAAGAAGCAAAAAATAATAGCTCCTTCACCCACATTTGGGAATTTGCTAAAATCGAAACGACGATGGCTAGACATAAAAGTGGTGTAAAAAAGGTATGCCGTCAAGAATCGAACTCACGGTATCTGATGGCAGTGTGCTTGTCGAAGAGCGTTAGTACTGCTAGACCAAGCTCTTTCATCCTAAATGCGCATAGTATCACAAAACGCATGTGTGTGTCAGTCGTGAAAAAGAAACAAAATGGCGGATCTGACCGTGGTAAACAAAACATGCTCTAACTTTTTAGGTAAGCGGTTTTATAAAAAAAATGGCTTTTTACTTTTGTTTTCATCATACTCAATAATCTAGTGTCCTTTGTCACTCGTGTCATAGTGCGAGATACGACATTAAGCAGAGCGGACAGATAGAGAGACAGACACACAGACAGACAGACAGGCTTACGAACCAAGTACCATAATCCCATGGCGAATGTGCGCCGAGGGTTAACTACAGTTGGAGTATGGATGTAACGTCTACTATCTTGCTGCACTTATCCCTATCTCACCCAAATTTCGCTATCCCCTCAAATAAAGGTGTCAACAATCTTGCATTTTTTGTTTTATGTATTTACTCGTGGTCTCCCGCTATCGCTGAGAGTCTGACACAGACTAGCTACAGTAGTAGATAGCGTGCGGGAGTCGATACACGCCCTTCATTGTGACTTCTTGTGCCTTCAAGGTACACAGAACAAGCGGACCCAGTCGAGGTAAGCCTGTGCTAATTTGCATATTGGCTTGTTCACTTGCTTTTCACGCCATAACTTTTGAACACAGTAGTTATACGAAAATCGCCTTTTTAAAAATGAAGGCAATGGTAATTGTTTACCTAAAATGTGCCTGACATTATGGTATCATTATTTGGGGTGCTACTGCTGTTTACTAACCACCCATTGTTCCTCTCGCTTTGAGCTCTCCCTATACAATTTCTCCACTAGAGCAACGATAGGACAAAAACAAAGACGCGGTCCCTCGCCCGGGAGGGCATCGCGCCAGCAACAATCCGTACGTACCTGGCTGCTGTCCGGCATGCCAAGATTATGCGGGGACACCCCAAACTGCGGAAAGCCAACAAATGACAAACTAAGGCGTAAAAACCTTCTGTATCAGTGTACATATTATTATCTCCCTGGTTTATTTGTGTTCACAAAGTGACCTCATTACCATTTGCAGATAAATAACAAACTTTTACTCACCAAATACAGGCATTAGTTTTCCACATAGAGCTTCGCCTTCGACATTGATAAAAAAAGAGTTATTCAGCAAAGATTGCAATGTAACTTCCTTTGTTCTGTTTTCCAGAACTCTCTTCCTCCCACTCCCGTCCAGTGATCCAAACCGTTGAGTGTAGTCACCTGCAGCACACTCAGCTCTAAAGAAAGAATCATTTCTGAACTGCCAGCACACTTACGAAAATGATTTAATTGTGCTCCCTAAAATATGTTGTAGCTTTTTGTTCTTAGACCGCAGTCACGCGCAATTGACCAATCAGATTACAGAATTGCGGGGGGTTTATTTTTCAGACACCTCGTTTCAGGTGTCTAATGGCGTTTGCAGGTGGTCTACAGCAAACTCTCCGTACAAAATGGCTATTCTCAAAAGTCGTTATCTGCGCAAACCGGCCGATTCCGCGTTCGGTATATGTAAGCGTAGAAGGCGCGACTGGCAAAGTAGCTCTTTTAAAATGCGTAGTACACCTGCAAGAAGTCTGTGGACAGTCTCCGGAGCTCGCGAAAGTCAGAAATCACGTCAATATTCCACGAAAAAAGCGTCGGCTTCTTTCAGCTCTGGCGATACACAAACACATTGGGCCGTTGCCGTGCGTTAACCCTTTCAAACGCGCACCACCAATGAGGGCGTTTTATGATGACGTAAACGATTTTTGATGGGGGGCGGGGGCTGTCTCCTCGGAGTCTCACACGTAAAAAAAAGCGTCTTGTTCCATCCGAAGGTAAGGAATGAGGAATGAGCGCAGCGTTGCTAGCTTGTTGCTACCCATTTGAACGCGCAAACACCAATCAGATACTCCGGTCTAAACCGGTTAGACGCGGAAGCTCGGTTGTCTACGCAACATTGCAACCCTCGGGGCATGTGGGTAGCGCCCTCGCTGCGCTCGGGACGCCAACATTCCACAGCCCCTCGGGTTGCAATGTAGCGTAGACACCTCGCTTCCGCGTCTAACCTATATTTAGAGCCCTCACCCAGTGCATGCAAATCGAAAGGGAGCTAAAAAGTGGGGAGGCAACATTTTCTGTGCGTGGCCAACCATGCTCACTGTATGTGCGACTAACTGGGTCGCTTCCCTTGACTGTCTTGAAGGAGTAAAGCAAAGTGGCAAGATAGAAAAGTTATGAAGTGTAAACCCTCAGCCCACGGCGCATGCGCGGTACCGCTAATTGATTGGCAGGGCTATGAGTATGTGTTTACTTGTGGTCTCCACACTAGTAGCTCGCGGAGGGTCTGACACAGGCTAGCTACACTAGTAGATAGTGGGCGGGAGTCGATACACCTCATTATAGTTGTGATTTTTTGAGCCTCCAAGGTACACAGAGCAAGCGGATCAGGATGAGGTAAGCTACGTAGTGTGATTATGCATATTGGCTTTTCACTTGTTTTATGGCATATCTCTGGAGTACACTAAAATTATATATTTCAGGTTCGTGTAGTTCTGGAGCCGTTGGTATTGCTGTTAGTCCGCCTCGTAGCTTTTAGTGCAAGAATAGCTGCAGACAGACACGCACACAGACCAAGTACCGTAACCCTTGCTGTGAATGTGCACCAAGGGTCTGCTTGACAGAAAACTGTCGAGTCACATGACATATGCTAGCCAGGATGTCACCAGATTGGACATGTTATGCATGAGTATGAACCAAAGGCTTTTGGATCTTTGAAATGTTGACTACAATAACCCCCAACGTGTATGCGCATCGAGGGTTAAAGGAAAGACGAACACTTACTTTATAAATGAGTGTCTGCAGTGCTTATCATAGTTGCAGTTTTCCAAAAACCCGGCTGGATCAAGGGGTATCTCTGTGCATATGCCTGTTGCATCATCATTGATTCCCCAATCATACCTTTCTGTGGCTAAAAAACATCACAACGAATTGAGAGAGAGTTACGAAGTGAATGTAATGATATACAGATACACACATGTACATAGTACACTGGCAACACAGTCCTACTCGTTATTACTCTAATGTGAAAAAACAGGAATCAGAAGGTATCACTCTAAACAAAAGCAGTTGTTGACTTAACTTTTATATTTTATGTGTCTTCCACAGTGCAAGAAAAACAGGCGAAACTAATTATTTATTCAAACACTATTATTAGTATAATTATAGGAAAGGTAAAGCTGTCAAATTCCATGTAGTGAACTGTGCTTCCAAAGGTGGTGAGAACCTAGTAACAAAACACCTCACCAACAGAAAGGCCTAAAGGGATTGCTATACTTTCACTTCTCCATGCACGAATTCACTCCAACAATTTCTAAAAGAACACCATATATTGTCAGCGCAATGCTGCACTTAAAATGGCACTCTATAACAACCGAGGAACTTTGGGGGTTTGAATGATTTCTGTCTCCCTTAATTTCATGCAATTTTCCTCTTGGATTTACTCAATCTGGACACTGTCATTAGTGACTGTCATATATAGCTGTTTTAGAGTGGTGACCTCGGGTTGTACATTTGGAAGTGTATAACAATGTACACTCTGAAAACCTTTCAGTCCCAGTATGTCGACCTCCACGGTGATCGTTCCATTGCCTTCAAGATCAAATTCAATCAGGCCACAGATATCTCCTACTTCAACTGTAGCAACAGCTCCAATTGCATAATCTGGGACAGAAAACAAAATATGCAAGGTGGGTGAGAAGCGATGTGGGCCTAGAGAGCACATACATGTACTGTACATGCCCAGATTGGATGTGGACACAGACACATGTTTTTTTTATATATTAACCCTTTGGGCGCGTTTTACATATATATAATATGCACAGAGCCTCCATAAGTGCATAAGAATTTATATATGGCTATAATAGGCGCTAATATGTTATATCATCAATTTCTGCTTATTTAAGGAGACACCTATGGCGCCCAAAGGGTTAAAAATCTGAGCCATTATATAGGGAACCCAGCCGAACCACTCGTGCAATGTTTACTCCAAGCATAGCAAGCCCTAAATGCCCGTGCTGCGTGGTATGTATTTTCAGTAAAATTGGCATAGAGAATAAGTCCCTAAGGACTACCTTGACAGTACTCTAAAGACTTACCTATTTGTTTGAGACCTTCGTTAGAGAATGGACCATGTGCTGTCCCACTCTAAAACACTTACCTATTTGTTTGAGACCATGGAATGGACCATGTGCTGTCCCGCCGGGGTAAGGTTCAAGTACAGACATTTGTTCGGTGCCATTGCCTGGATATGATGAATGCACACAGAGTTCAGCACTCAATGATACTAGATAAACTCACACATGACAGCCGCTATCTCATCCTGTGCACAGTTGTGAACACCCAGACGTTCATGCTCACAGTCCATCAAGCATTCTTCTTGTCCAGTACATTGAATATCATCCAGCCAGTAATGTACTTGATTGATATCAATATCAAAATGATAATGAAAAGAAGTTATAGCAGTGTCTGTGGAAAAAGCAGAGAGTAAACATCGAGTACGTTTTGTTAAACAGCATGGCAGGTATTCTGCATGCTATCTCACTCATAATTATACATAAGTGTCTCATTTAGTTCATTTCTGCAATCTCTTGACCATTTTATGGGTGAAGTCGACCCTTTACTCACACATGTTTACAGCAGCATGATGCAACTTGAACATGAGCTAGGCTTTGTTAACTAGATTTCTAGGTAGGGCTTGCCCTAAACAAAAATATCCCAATGTTCGATGGAAATAAGGATCCGGCAGATATTTAAAAAGAAAGGCGGCAATCTGTTGGATACCCCATCTTTTTCTTTCACCGTGTATAATGTGTCAATGTGTATGTGAAAACTACGCATCAGGTCAGGATAATTGCACTCTACAGCTATATTGACCTTTCTTGAAACTTTGTAGAGTCAATTGCCCATTGCTTTTCAGAGCTACTTGAAAAGCACTAAAGTGCAAACCCTCGGCGAACTGCGCATACGCGATACTGCTCACGTCGCGAGTCTGACACGGGCTAGTAGAGAGCGTGCGGGAGTCGATACATGCCATTTGTTGTGACTTTCTGAGCCCCAAAGGTACACAGAGCGAGTGGATCAGGTCGCGGTAAGCCCAGTACGATTATGAACATTGCGGACATACCTTGCTCAATTTGTTGTCCATCAAGAACAGAGATCAACAATGACTGAGGAGAGAAAAACCGCTTGCTCGTCCAAGGTCAACCACGCGGAATCTAGCAGATGCGCATGCTCCGGCAACGACGTACGCGCATGCGCGATGGATCGCTCGCGTCTGATGCTCTGGCAAAACCACATATGTGCGTGCGCGATGAATCGCTCGCGTAAGCTTTTTCGCTTGTTTTCACGCCATATCTCTGAAACAAAATCGTCACATTAATATCAATCTTCTCGTCGTTCACAACCCGTTGGTGCCTCGTAGCCTGTAGTCGCGCGGACAGACGGACAGACAGACAGACAGAACGACTACTGTAACCCTCGCTGCGCATGCGCGCCGAGGTTAATGAGGGTCATTCAAGTACACGAAGTAGCAGAAGCAGGGATTTGGCACAAACATAATGTTCTGTATACTTAATTACTCCGGTACACACAGTTATGTTCAGCTTGCTGACAATCGTGTACGGATGGTTTTTGAAACTTTATAAGGCTAGATACATCATGTTTTGACGACATACAGAAGGACACACTCGGAGACAAACTGTACATGCTGAGTACATACTCAGTGAGAGTATACTGTGCCATAGCACAGTGGTTTGATGTTTACCTTGTATCTGTTGTGTTGTAGATTAGAACCTCCACCAGCTGAGTTGCCCTGGTAGCTCAGTTGGTAGAGCGCTCGCTTAGACTGCAGAGTGTCGTGGGTTCTAATCCCACCCAGGGCAGCTCTTCTTTTCTCTGAAAAGAAAGTACTGTCCTGGGTGTAGTTGACTTGTTTGCCTTGCCTTGCCTTTCTACCTCGCTACCAAGTTTTTGAGACATGCACACCAATGGTTAAAATTATTAGCTAACAACTTAACAGATTGGATTATTACTTTACCTTCAGTAAGCAAGTAATGTTCCCTGCAGAAAACTCTTGCAGCATTAATATCCCATCCATCGTCACAGACAAACCTCCACTGACCCATCCAAACAAATCTGCACCAAACCCTCACCCTCTTTCCAAGGATAGGACTCATTTCTGAGCACCCTTGTCTCCCACGCTTCACAAGGTGGGTCTGGTGCTATTGAAAGGGAGCTGTATCGATTTTCTTACTTTATGTGTGAGAAAACAATGTATACTCTCATAGTTATGTGATAAGGACATGGGTAGGAACGTTGGAACAACACTAGACAACAGTGGGTATGGGATGAAGGGGGGTGGGGGGCACTGGTGTAGCTGGTCACGTCTGTGCAATTATGGCTGTGTACATGCAAATGTGGAGTTATAATTAAAGGAGCCCTTGGTGCCACCACCAAATGTGCAATTAGCTAGTAACGATACTGCAGAACCCAGCTATAGCTGTAGGTTTGCTTGGAATGTTATGGGATAGCCTTCCCCTAACAACA